TATGTAAATCCTCGTTTCTTTTATGCAATGTGAACAGGGTAAAATCTTTTTCTTATAAGTACTGACTTAAAAATAGTTCTTCGGAGAAACCACTAATACAAACTATCTTACTTTCGCACTATGCTATTTCATGCCTTAACTATAAGCTATTCTACATCCAAATGATGATACAATTCATTTATAAAACCCTTAATATTAATATGTTTTCTACTTTTTCCCGTTTAAAATGGTTTCGGTTGATTTAACACTGCTTCCCGCAAGATGAATTTTCCTCATATTTTTCAGTCGTTATGTCCTCTGCCCTATATTGAGCTGAGCTGGAAAGACAGACAACTACTTCTCATCCAGCACATCTTAACCAAAGGCTTGGACGCATTAAAAATGTAGGGACGGAATAATGGAAAATTGCATCCAAGATGCTTTGTCGATTATTGCAATACTTATTTTTGAAAAGATCATTCTTTTACTATTTATGATCGCAATTCGAATATTATTTGGTTGAAAGCTGCCAACTTACGTATGATACATACTTTTATTTTCGAATGCTCTCGGATTTTTGCTATAGTCCACTGCCTCTATAGCTACCTAAGTAAAATTAAATAAGGCAAAAAATGATTCTAGATAAGGGTGTCACATATTAGTGCTTAACGTTAATATATCGTTCTATCGATTTTTATATATTTATGCCTGCACCTTTTGACTAATTTTATTTAGATTTTGATCATCTACAATCCTCCAGTCTCGATTTGAGTCATGATAGCCTTAGTGTTTATCACAATCGGAAAAAGCCAGTTGAAGCCGTCTTTAACAAAGATGAATCAGTTCATTCTTCTCCGCGCTTAGCTGGCTCTAATGTTCCTCAGAGACGTTCCTCTTCGTCATCCCGACGTAAGCGTTCCCAGCCCCGAAGGCCCCTCAAGTCTGTTTCGCCCCTTGTCGTAGCCTCAGAATGCTCAAAGCCAACGCATGCCTTGGTCGAATCGAGCAATTTGCTTGCACCGGAAGTTGACGGGTCAGATTCTTTCTCAGCTGCCTTGATTACATCACAAAGCGATACTGATTTAAGGCCATCTTCAGCTCTCCAGCATTCCAATTCTGCTTTCGCGTTTGCAGACTCATTGCAGCATTCTGGCGAGCTTAATAATTTTGCCCCATCCGATCCTGTCATATCATCGGGGCCCGATAACTCACAATCTATTACTGGCAGTACTTTGTCAGGTGTCGTATCTGACGACCAGAATAAAGTAGATCAGATTACGCACATGCCAAACACGGCTTCAACTAATATTGCAGTGCAATCTTCTAAGGATGTAAGCTCCTCTTTGATGGAGGCAAGTGACACCTTCGACTGCACTTATTCCAATACTACTAAGGCTCCTACAGTGCATTTTGATAATACCCCGTTGAGTGAAGCTGTAAAAAGACCGAGTGGATTAGACCTGTCGACAGATACAATTGACTTTTCAGCTAATAGAAGTATGGCCTACGTTGAGCATACGTCTGATAGACTGGATGCTCCAGAATTCGAAGCTTGCACTACCGCTAGTGGTGACCACTCTTTGAGCTCTCCGGCCAGCGCAGTGATGTTCCAGCCCAACCCAAAAGATGAGAGTACGTCCACTGAAGCTACCACTCATACTCTTCATTTTTCCACCGAGGTTCCCAAAACTCCCGAGCCCGATAGCATTGATGCAGTCGACCCCCCAGTTTTATTGGCATCAGCCGAAATCTCTAACTCACGCATAAACATGAACATTGATTCGGATGCGAACGCGAGCATCGATATAGATGTAGACTTGGGTGCCAACTACTTGATTGGATGCTCTAATCGTCAGATGGATCAGCCTCTCTTCCACCTGGCCAAGGTACTTAACCTAGAGACGGCTGCCTCTGCAGGAGACTTAATTCGGAAATATCGCGGTTGGGAATGCGTCGAGCTAGCTTGTTGGAGAAACCACCTTGCCTCAGCAAAGGATATTGAGACGCCTCTCCAAGCTGGGCTCGATCTCAACACTAAAAATGAACATATTTCCATGTCCCCCGAGGTCCCTCTGGCCCAAGTGGCTGAGGGCATCTTTCTATTCGACCGAGTCATCCATTTGACGGTTTGCAGGCACCTGCGCGGTGATGACCCAGAGCCGACCTATGAACTGGCTGTCGGATCTGAGTCATTACCTTTGTTAAACTGCGAGAGCGCTGAATTATTGCAAGCCAATGAGCATACGGATCTAAAAGAGGCGGGGAAGTGTCTGAAGGCTGAGAAGATGTTAGGAGACCAAGAAACTATTAAGGAAGAGGAGCAAGAAACAAAGGAAGAGATTGAGATGAAAGAGATGAAACCAGAATTAGAGGACGAAACTATAATGAAGGAGTTGGAAATCGGAGAGGGGAAAGATATACAGGAGGAAAGCAAAGAAGAGTCAAAAATTAATTGCGGAAAGGAGGAAAAAGAAAACTTAGAGATAGAGGCTGATGAAACTAGTTTGGTGGACAAAGGAAATAACTGCCCCCTGAAAATAGATGAATTCTCAGAGTGCAAATCTTCCCTTAACTTACTTTTATCTACTCATTCTTCCTCTCAAGCTGCATGTATGTCTGATCATCTATCACTATCATCACCAGATAGGGCAAATACCTTGGAAATGTCGGAAAATGTTGTCTCGACTGTCGAAAAAGTATTTGAAAATATACCGGCTACCAGCGAAGAGCCATTTTCCCAAAAAGCCGTTGCAAATACTGGACGCATCCTAGAGGAGTGTAAGCTAGAAAATGTTACTGAGGTTGAAAATGCTTTTCCCGATGCCTGCATCCATGTTAATCCAGACCTCTTGGCCATTAGGAAGGAAATTGCAAACTCCGATCCTGTTGATAATAGTTGCATTCTTGATTGCTCGAGTAATCCAGATAATCATGTCGGCATCAGTGATGTACTACGTATTGATAAGGATGCTACCTCTGGCTGTGATTTTCCCACTGGCGCTGTTCAAACACTGGCCGAAACGACTGATCTTCCTTGTGTTTCTACCTGTAGCCTAGTAGTAAATGGCAACGTCGAGCTGCCAGAACATTGTGATGAGCCTGATGATGGTGATAGTCATACAGTCACTCATGAATTTAAGGCTGCTTCCTCTTCTGTAATTGGTACGCCTTCTATTGAAGAAATAAGTACAGATGTATCTTTTCCCTCTCGAGCAGTCACGGTCGCCGACAACCAACCAGGAATCTCTAACACCGAATCTGATAGATGTCTTATTTCGCAATTTATATATATCAAGGCGAAGGAGACCGAAACAGACGGCACGAATGACACTAAACTTATGGAGGCGAGGACTGAGCAGCTGGCTCACAATGAAGCCACGTCCCCATCCTCAGAATTTAAATCGACATCGAGTAAGCAATCGTTTGAGAAGCCTGTTGTTTTTGATGAGTTAAAACCAGGAAAGCGCAGGAAAAGAATTTTTAACGAGGATCGTGGTGTGACGTCAAAAGTGGCTGTGGCTATCAAACGGAGCCATAATGAACGCCGATTGATGAAAATGGAATCTGCTACTGGGTCGGACGACTCAAACATGCCTTCTTTCAAAGTTAGCTTTTATAATTTTTCCTTTGCCTATATTTTTTATTAATTCTATTGGTTAAGTTTTTATCGTAGATATGGGTTTTTATAAATCTCCTGAGATACCATTGTTGGGGAGACCTTCATTTCGTATGAAAGTGAGTGAAGAAGAGATTCGTAGGTTGATCTCACCTACGTATCAACCTTGCGTTAATGTGACACTTTTACAAGAATGAGTTCCAGCTCTGTTGATATACATAATGGGATGACCGAAAGTTTAGTCCGTTTTCACCCGGGGCGAGAGAGGATGTCTCGTGGACTGCTTCAATCTGAACGTCGTATTGAAGCCAAACGGCTGCAGTACAACGGGATTCAGCCGTCGTCTTCTAGTGAGATCAACCTACGAATCTCTACTTCATGCACTTTCCTCAGCAACTAACTTTTTATCCTATGCATTATTTCAATAAATGTGTTCCTTAAATTTGTATCATAATTCCTTTCCTAAGGCATAATTCATAATACTTATGTGTGCTTATTTATTCGGTTCCTTAATTATCCGGTGATTTTGAATTATTTACCATTCATTCGTCCATATGTTTTCAGGATCTATTTGATCAGGCCCTTAACGACATTCTTCTCGCTGAAGCCGCCTGTGGGAAGCGGCCACATGCTGAGCTGTCTCCTCTCGAAGCTGGCATCTTCGCTTCGATTGTTTCACGTTACCTCACTTATGTGAATCCCTTGGATAGGCTGCCC